GCGCAAAGCGCAATTTAGAGCTTCTGCGCATGCGCAACCATCGAAACCCGGAAGTAACCTGCTCCGGTACTTCTGGGTTTCGGCGGTCCGCAACCTGAAAAAACACAACCTGAAGTGGCTGTAACCCGAGATATGACTGTATTACTAAAAACAAAACAATGCAACAATTCCTTCACATCCCTAGCACTCACAAAACAATTAGTGGATGGGGGCGAGGGTGAACAGCCAAGAACTGAAAAATGAAGCTGCTGATGAAAGAAAGGAAAATAATTGCATTATCTTCTGTTTCTCAATTCAGAACACCAACCAATTTAATTGACATTTATTCATTATCTTGAACTTTGTTAGCTTGAGATTAATTTATTAAACCTGCTTAAATATGCAATACAGAAACAAAATTAACTGGAAACCTTTTTTTAATACGCCACGATAAAAGGCATTAGTCGCTGATTACCCAACACATCTCGGAATGAAGATGCAGAACAGTTATGGGATTAGCCACAAGTTTTATTACATTGCAGGGATCTGCTATGAGTAATGACTTAATAAACTTCCTTAACTCAGGCACAGATTGGGAAGACACACTTTCTGCTGTTTACCTTCCATGGGCACGTAATGCGGCCTAGCTGTTGTGGTGCCATAAACTTCAAGATATGTACCTCCTTCCCTTAGAAAGGCAACTCCTCTCTGGATCCAGACTGTGCTGGTCCTGGGGGGGTTACTGTGCAGCATGGTCCAAGTCCAGTCCAAGGTCGAGGGTGTGGTATGGAGGCTGTCCATCAAGGCTGAAGCGGGGTTCAAGGCAAGGAGTTGGGTGAGATCAAGAACTCTGGCAGAAGAGCAGAACAGAGTGCCAGCAGGAGCAGGTTACCAACAATGTTGCTCCCGCAACCTGGGACTGGGCTGGCTGGCTTTTATCTGCCCCAAGGCATAGGGCGGCCCCAGTCCACAGGTCACTTGCCTCTCCTGGCCTGGAGGCGAGCACTCCTCCTGCGGGAACTTAGTTCCCTCCGCCTCTCTGCCCTGAGCCTCTGCAGCTCAGGAGAGGCTGGAGGGTGACTGGACCAGAGGCAACCTCCTCTTCCCCTGACGGGGCTGAGAGTGGATCACCTGCAGGCAATGGGTCCTCGATCACCTCCGGAGCCAGAGCAGACTCAGTTGGTGTCTGCTCCTGAGGATCCGGCACAGGTGAGGACCCTTCAGGTTCAAGCCCCAGCCCCGGCTCAGCTGGTCCTGGAGGCGGGGACTCCTCCTGTGCAGGCTCTCAGGTTCAGCCTCTGAATCCAATTCCCAGGCCATTACACAGACTCTGGAGTAGCCCATGAACTGAATAATACTCATCCCTGGCCAACTTTAAGGCAGGGATGGAGAGACCTCAGGCCCAGATCTGGCACAGCCATGTGGCAGGTGAGGCCTCTGCTTCATGGAACAGAAGCCCTCAGGTGGCACACCCATGGGTGCCCTGTCTGCCCCTCTGCCTCCACTAGCAGAGGAGAAACACCACTGGTACCAATGCCAATTTGGGGCAGGATCACAGCCATATTGGGCAAGATCCCGCCCAAAATTGGCAACGATGGAGGGGCCACTTCTCCAGCAGTGGTGAATGGGGCAGGATGCGCAGCAGGGGCAGAGCAGGTGGCGGCAGCAGGAGCAAGTAGGTGGTGGCAGGAGCAGTGGCAGTGGCAGCGGCAGCAGCAAGGAAGGCGAAATTTGATGCACAGCCCCTGTTGAGGCCTGTAGGCTGAAAACATCACTCTGGGTCTTTTTCTAGGCCATGCTTTTTCTTCTTTGGTACAACCAGGTGTCCTAGTCTCACATACAAGCAGGAGCTGCTACATTGTGCTCTCTTGACACAACTACAGACAACATGTAGTGGCTGTAAAAAGCAGACTCAACACACCATTGCTCCATGTCTAACACATGCACAAGTGGCTATAATGTTAAGCGAATGTTAAATCATATTTCTGCTTCTTGTTATGTAGCCAGTTATCAATCTGACCTCTCTCCTATGATTACTATGTTTCACACAGCAGTCAAGTCTAATAGACTTTATCAAAAGCTTTTTGGAGGTCTAAGCACAATTCATATAGGTCACACCAATCTACTTCTTTCCTAACACATTCAATGAATCCCAAAATGGCGGGAGAGGGTTCCCCTTGTTGATCTCCCTCTGCAAGGGTTGTTATTCTATATGCTTAATCGTTTTAGGTTTGAGGGTGGATCTGTTAAGATAACTATAGATTGAACTATGTCAAACTCTGTAAACATTCAGATAATGTTTACTACCTTATCGACCTTAACTCATGCAATGAAAACACTTAGGGACAAGGGGAGGAGAGGGTCTGATGGAAAGGTGTACTAATATCATTTTTGATTACCGGTATTTATTTATTGCATTTATATTCTACCTTTCCTCCTAGGAACCCAAGGTGACGGACATCGTTTCCCTCCTTCCCACCTTATTCTCACAGCAACCCAGTGAGGTAGGATTCTTTGTGTGATTTGTGCTATTGAAATTAAATCAATAAATACATTTTTAAAAATAACTCAAGGTTAGTCATGCTTTCCGCTGATATACCAGGGACAAAATTATGATGGAAAGTGGTGGTTGGTAGCCAGTGGAACAGCTTGATTTCTACTACCACTGCAAAATTGGCAGCAGTGGTAGGGGATAAAAGGTAAGTTGGGATGGCTTTGCCTACCACAAACCCTCTGAAAAATGCCCAGAATTTCTCACTAAATAACTTTTCACCCATTCTTACACCAGAGTTTATAAGAAGTCCACCACAAGGGTTCTGCTCCTGTGAAATGCTTACCTTAGCAGGTGCGGACAATGTCACTTTTAGATAATTTCACAGTGGCTAAATCTGCGCTTAATTTTAAACATTTTCTGCCCTTTGATCTCCCAAGAAACAGAGCTAAACCTTGTGCTACTGCTTAGCTAAATCTTGACTTCAAGAAGTATAGCTTAGTGGGAAGTTCAGAGTTAGTAAAATCCCAATAAATGTAGGGCAATTGTCAAGGGGGCTCCTTTCATTGTAAAAATAAAAACCATAAGCATAATACAGGTATAGAGGTTTACAGACTCACCTCATGTCCGTTATCCATGTGCATTATGAACTTATAATGATGTGACAAATAGCAACAAGACATAACTAACCTATTTGTTATTGCTCATGTTGTTGTTGGATATTGAAACTGCATTTTAAAAATAGGAATAAATATTGAGCATAAAGAACAAAACATGCTTGTCAGCGTCTGTGAAGATGCTTCTTCCAAAGTTCCCTATCAAGCAGATGGGTGTTTGTGCATATATATATTTTTCCAACTCCCAGGGGCCTTCATTCAAACTGGCTGATATAATTTTATTTGAATGGCTTCATCAAGGTGTTTTTGTCCACCTGTCAGCTTTTATATGGATTACCTGTCCACAGCGTTTTCATTATTTATCCACCTGTAGTGAGGAGTAAGAAAGACAGGCACTTATTCTGGGCACCACACCATTATCTATCTGCTCTCCGCTCCATTTGGCTGTGCAGGAAGAATTCCCCGGACTGGTGCTTTAATCGCTGTATGGGTTTGCACACCACAAAGAAGATTTTCTGAAGTTGGAGGCAATTTTCCTACCAGCGTAATTCAAAGTGTGTTTCCTTTGCCCCAAATAATTGCAGCGAGTGTCCTTCATACTACAGTGGTACCTCTGGATGCAGACAGGATCCGTTCCGGAGCAGCGTTCGCATCCTGAAGCGAACGCAACCTGCGTCTGCGCGTGCGCGGTTCACGATTCGACGCTTCTGCACATGCGCGTGACGTCATTTTGAGCATCTGTGCATGTGGGAGCGGCAAAACCTGGAAGTAACGCATTCCGTTACTTCCGGGTCGCCACAGAGCACAACCCAAAAACGCTCAACCTGAAGCAACTTTAACCCGAGGTATGACTGTACTTCCTAGGACCAAGTCAAAATTTCTCAGAAGAGGTATTTCTGGTTTTTGTTTTTTTAAAAAAAACATTTCCAAGCTCCTCATAAGCTGTTAGAGCAGGCATCCCCAAACTCGGCCCTCCAGATGTTTTGGGACTACAACTCCCATCATCCCTAAAAGGACCAGTGGTCAGGGATGATGGGAGTTGTAGTCCCAACACATCTGGAGGGCCGGGTTTGGGGATGCCTGTGTTAGAGAATTTCCTTTGTCCTCTTGAGAATATTTGGCAAAATGGCCTCCCTGCTTTCACCACCCGTGAATCTTGGGCCCAACTGTGCATCCAGTTCATTAAAATATTTTGTAAATATTATTTTGATATTGTGATGGGTTTGGTCTTACTATCGCAAAGACAGATTCATAAAAGCTATTGACACCTTTGGCCAAGGCCCTCAAAGACTTCAGTTTTTGTTTTCTTAAGAGTAATCTACTTTCCTTTATGTTATGGACAGACAAGATTATATGGCATCACCGTGATCAAACATTGACTTGCTAAATGCTCCTGAAGGCTAGATTTGTTTCAGAACAAATTAATGAGCTGAAAAGGCAACATCTCACACAGAATTGAATCGGGATAGGCAAAGTTGAAAATAAGGACTGACACTGGCTGAATAATTCAGCCAATGTCTGTCTTTAATTTCTTTACAATGTACGTTGGTTGACTGCCTTGCTTCCTGTGTGCCTCTTTGGTAATATATGTCTACTCCAGTGGCTTCCATTGCCCTGTAAAATGGCTTGACAGTGTGTACGTGCATTTGCTCTTCTAAATAATGTTGATCATTTTTAATTAGCTTAACTAGAGTCCAATTAAAAAGACAGCCTATTTTCAAATCTGAATATGTAATATGCTCATATATACCCATTACATTTCCACCCCCTCTGGAACTGCACCAGAAAATTGTGCTCAAATGGAAGAAGGCAATCATAGAATTGTAGAGTTGGAAGGGACCATAAGGATCAGCTAGCGCAACCCTCTGCAATGCAGGAATCTTTGGCCCAGTGCGGGGCTCAAACTTGACTGAGCTGGGCTGCAGCTCAGGGATAGAGCATCTGCTTTGCATGCAGAAGGTCCCAAGTTCAATCCCCGGCATGCTGGGCAGGGACTGACTCTTGTCTGAAACCTTGGAGAGCTGCTGACAGATGGACCAATGGCGTGACTCAGTATAAAGCAACTTCCTGTACTATAGTTTCTTCCCCCAGCCTTTTTGCAGCAGTTTACTATAGCATAGGGATGCAGGTGGCACTGTGGTCTAAACCACTGAGCCTCTTGAGCTTGCTGATCAGAAGTTTGGCAGTTCGAATCCCTGTGATGGAGTGAGCTCCCGTTGCTCTGTCTCAGCTCCTGCCAACCTAGCAGTTCGAAAGCACACCAGTGCGAGTAGATAAATAGGTACCGCTGCAGCAGTAAGGTAAACAGTGGTTCCGTGCACTCTGGTTTCCGTCATGGTGTTTCGTTGCACCAGAAGCGGTTTAGTCATGCTGGCCACATGACCCAGAAAGCTGTCTGTGGACAAACGCCGGCCACCTTGGTCTGAAAGCGAGATGAGCGCCACAACTCCATAGTTGCCTTTGACTGGATTTAACTGTCCAGGGGTCCTTTACCTTTACCTTTCTTTCTTTTTTACTAGCATGTATAAATATATGTCACCCCGTCGTGGGGATTCGAACCGCTGACCGGCAAGTCCTAGAGTCGGTCCCGACTGGGCCTAATGGTCAGGGGTCCCTTTACCTTTTTTATAAATATATGTCATGTATAAGATACACCTAAAAGAAGGAAAGTACGCTAAGAAAACAAAGCAACTAAGTTTGCCAGATTCAGGGCCAGGGTCCAAGATCAACATCATTGGGCTTTGATTGAGGTCCATCATCCCAGCAAGATGGCTCACTGCTAATCCTTGGGCTCACCTGCTTCCTTTCCTTTGGTGTTCGTGCTCATTTACCTGCCCACCATGAAACTGTGTTCACATGTTACATACAACAAGTGTGCAATCAGATTCCTTATTCTAATTTTGTTTGTAGAGGCTTTATTATTACACTCAAGCGGTATATAAATTTTATATGGTGATGAATGATAACAACAACAAAGTCTTTCCATTAATATTTAAAATAAATATTTCCACCCGTATTTCTGCAGCAGCAGCAACAACAAAAAGACTTCACTTAAAAAAGAAGAAAGGAATAGGTGTCAGGTACATGGCAGGCAAGCTCTGCACCTTCTGGTGTTCCCAGGATAGCCCACCTGAGGATGTCATGGTGTTGTCAGGAAACACAAGTACTGAGAAACACTGCACAGTGCGGACCATTGGAAAGATGATTTGCAGAATGAAGGAAAAGACAGTGGCAGGCATCCCTTGACCACCTTTGAAAGTGAGGTAGGTGCAACAAAAAGCTTGCCGCAGCCCTGATCTCCCCTTTGATAATCTTCAGGTGTGCAGTGTCTTTTTCTCATCAAGTGATGGAGAATGAGAAGGACCAAGCACAGACATTTTTTGGCACACCACTATCTGGGACACAGCCTACCCAGGTGGACATAGCAGAGCCACTCAGAGATCATGAGGGACAGGTAATGCACACGGGGAGGGGGCTGTTATTGGCTTCAAAGAACGTACAAGCCCATTGGTGAACAGAAACATCTGGCTGTATGCTAACAAGCACAACGAACGGCAAGCTGTGAGCCTGATAATAGGGAGAACAGATGGAGACATCTAATGACATCCACTTATATGGAAGATGTTCGTCCTTGGTTTTCACAGCGGTGGGAGACAACAGAAAAAGGATGTGATGTGACCTTCAGAAACAATGGAACACCATTATAACTCCAGGAAGAGCATTGTTTATGCTTGAGTTGGACTGGGGGGAGAATTGCGCTCAGTGACATACAATGAAAATGGGGGTGTTCGTTTTCCTTTCTGGTTTTTCTTTTTTAGATGGGAAAATGCAGTTATTTTAAAGCTTGTAAATATCAACCTGGAGCTAAATTTGTGAGGTTATGTGCTCAGAGGAATGGGATCTCGGATGATTAATTGGAGTATTTTGTTTCATAGGGCTCTGGGTCCAGCAGGGTTGCTCAGCTGTTATCAATCAAGGCTGATCGCTAACAACCCCAGTGAGCTCTCCGGACATGGCGTTTTATCAGACCAATTAGCGCCTAAGTGCTGTTTAGCTGATAAACGAGGAATCAGAGCAGTGTGGAGCACAACAAGGGAAATAACTGTATATGTGCATTTTACAATAAAGGAGAATCAACAGCCTGCTTTCGTGGTCAGTGGGAAGACTTTATTTGAAGCTTGGGAACGTGACCTCAATGACATCAATTGAAGTCGCATCCTTTGAGTTTCAGAAAGAGCTGCCACCGTTTCATGCCTATTTCAAGAGCTGCAGATTTTGCTGCCAATATTTAAAGTTTACCTTTCGCTTAATCCTGTGCATTTTTACTCTCATGCAAATATAGGTGAATCTGGTGAAGTGTGCATAACATTGCAGATTCTGGGGAATACTTTAAAAATAGAAACAAACCATGAGGCATAATCCAGCCACTATTAAGTGCATAACAGTGCAATCTTAGGTTCATGCTTTAAAGGTTTGTCTTCAAGTGTTGGGAGGTTTTTTTTGACCCACTGTTTTCTCCAGGAAAACACACTCTTCAACGCTGAATCGGAACAAATGGCAATTCAGGTGTTTTCTGCAGATTGCTGTTTGCTCCAATTCAATGACAAGGAATGCCAGGCAAAAACCTTGGATACGATGCTTTAAAGTGTGGACCTGTGCTTAGAAACATGGTACAAAAGGAAGCCTGGAGAACTGCATCACAAAAATCAGAGAAGTGGGAATTTGGAAAGATAATTGTGTTCTGTTTTGCGTATTGGTTCAAGATATACATACAGTGGTACCTCTGGATGTGAACGGGATCCGTTCTGGAGCCCCGTCCACATCCAGAAAGGAATGCAACCTGTGTCCACATGTGTGCGCGTGTGCGGGTCGCGATTCACCACTTCCGCGCATGCGTGTGACGTCATTTTGACGGTCTGTGCATGCGCGAGCGGCGAAACCTAGAAGTAACATGCTCTGTTACTTCCGGGTCACCACAGAGCACAACCCGAAAATACTTATCCTAAAGCTACTTCAACCTGAGGTATGACTGTATTGCGTAGTTCTTCATTAAAATGCCAACAAAATCAAATTTCCCCCAGTCTATAGCTTGAGCACCCTGATTTTAATAATAATAATAATAATAATAATAAAGCAAATATTTTAGAATAATAAGAAGTTAGCACCCTCCAACTTCAATAATTATAACAGTATTTTTTTTCCAGGGATTGTGAATGAAATCACCAAAATTTGTATTTTCGTGTGTTTGTGTAATTTTCATTATTATTTTTTTGTATTTTTATAATTCTTGATATAAATTTTGTAATTGTATTATATGTGCTTGAATTATCTGTTTCTCTCTTTCCTAGCTACAACTTCTATCATCCCTAACCATTGGCAATGCTGGCTGGGACTTGAAAACCTAAGCATCTGAAAGACACGAGTTTGGGAAAGGCTGTGTTAAGTGAACATTCAACCCAAACTACCATTTATGTGGCTGAAAGGTGGCGTATGCCTACAGTTCCTTGGAGGAAAAGTAGTTTATAAAAGTTTGAAATGACTGTCATTCTTTCCCATTTTGGTTCATTTAAAGCACAAACAGAAGCAAGAGCTCCTGTGGCTTTTTTAAACAATGTACCATTATTCTGCTCTCTATTGTCAGCTTCAGGCAGAAGCCTAAGGGGCAGACTGCAATGAATTCATGTATTTTCTTCTCCAGCATGCATTAAGAGTTTTGAACTTTGGGTGAATGGAAGCTTCTGCCTCCCTTGATGATTAAAGCAATGTTCTGGGTCTAGTCACAGTGAAAGATTACATATTTCCCCTGCAGGCAAGAGCAGGGATAAACCAAACCGCATACTCCCTGCTCCAAAATTTGCCCTGTGTGATCTTACTCAAAAAAAAAAAAAACACTACTCAGCCCTCTTGAAGTGTGTATGTTCCATAGTTCAACATCTTTTCTGTTGTTGGGATGGTTATCACAATACTCCATGTGAAGCCACCATTCATTCTGAATCCTTATATAGAATTTTTGTTGTTTCATCTGTATAACCCAAACAACAAAATAGAACTTCATGAGACATACACATAAAAGCTAAAACCCAACCAAAGCAAGATTGGCATGGGATGTTACATTCACAAGGAGAAATGATAGAGCTGGTTATCGGGATGTTTGCAATAAGGTATCAACAGGTAAGTGGAGAGTTGTTGGCATCTGTCTGTCTCAAGAGACAACAGAGGGGGCCTTCAGGGGTAAAGTCAAACTGCTGTGTCAGCAGCACTGAAGTAACCTCCCCAGGGCGCAAGCCTGGGTAGTTTGTATGGAGGTCCTAGGCTGCCCAGACAACAAGACACGCCCCCCCCCATCTTCACTGATGTGGTCCAAAGGGAAGCAGAGCAATACATTTGGCACCAGCTTGGCTGCAGGAGTTGCCGGAAGGGAGCATACAAGGCACCATCCAACCATCTTAAGGACTCCCCTCTGGATTTGTGTAGAGCTTACTCCTTTTTTTTTTTTTTTAATAATTTTTATTAAGGTTTCAATCAAAAATTAAACAACAACAACGAAAAAGAAACATAAAAAAAGATACACAAGTACATAATACAAATCTCAGGGGAAAAAATTAAAAAAACACGAAAAGCAAGAATCAACAGTAAAAAGACAAAAAAACAACAACAAAAAACATAACAATTAAAAACAATATCTCTTTTCCATTTCCGTTTTGAGTTTACTTATTTTCTGGACTTCCTCATACCTCCCTCTTTTGTATTCCAATTCAAATTGTTTGTCCAGCAATTCCACTTTTTTAATCCCAATCTTTAATTTTAATATAATATATAACGTCAACTTCTTTAAACCTAATCTTTGATCTTAATGTAATATAATCTTGAAATTTTACCTCTTAATTACCAAATTTCCATTTCCTTGAACATCTTTAATCCTAATCTTTAATCTTAGTCTATCATTAACTTTAACCTGTACGGCTGGAAACCACTTATTTTCAGTCCAAC